GTAGTTTACGAGACCTAGTTCAAGTGAGCTAACGTTATTATGTAACCAGGTTTCGGTAAAAGCTAAAATATTAAAATCTAAGAAATCTATATTGGTTTTTAATAATTTTAATTTAGTATTAAGACCTCTTACATTTTGGTAGTAGCAATTGAATATATTGTGAATGGAAATTAGTTTTTTGAATTGATAATTTTTGGGGTGCCTTTGATGTATTTAATGGTGAGGTCCTGTTCTCCTTTAGATTGACGGTTTAGAAGTTCTTGGCGAAGGTGTGACATGTATTCTGTTGCTGTTTGGTTTGGTCAGAAGAGAAGCGAAGATCTTTCCAGGTAGAGTTTGATTTTAATTTATTTTGACATGAGAATAATTCAAAAATATCTTTTTGATTCGAGAAATGTAATTTTATTGGTCGAGGTTTGGTAGTATTAGAAGAAGAAGGTTTGCCCAGACGAGTGACAGAATTTGGTTTGGATTTTAAATTAAGAAAATCAAGTATGTTTTGAATAGAAGTAAGATCCGAACTTGTGTTGGTTGAGTCATTAGGAGCTTCTGATAAATTGAAGAGTAACACATTATTTCGTCGTGATTGTCTGTCGATCATCTCAGATATTAAATTGTCGTTAATTAAGGCTGATGAATTTATATTTGACGATGCGATATTAGCTTCTAGGGTTACCACTTTAGTTGTTAAAGAGGTTAGTTCAGTAGATAAAGTGTTTAATTGTGTGGAATGACTATTGATTTTATTTGTTAAAGTTGCTACTTTATCAAATAGAGAATTGATTGAAGACACTAGTTTATTATTTGAAGTTTTTAAATCATTTACAGATTTAATTAGAGTATCAAGTTTATCTTCCTTGTTTGTGAAATAAGTGAATACGGCGTACGAAGTAGATAAATATTTAGCAGTTGAATACTAAATATTAAGGGGCAGTGTATATGGAATAAAATTGACAAATTTACTGAGGTATTGATCTTTATGGCTTAGCGTTCAAGTCACCGGAATAAAACAGCTGTTACAGTAATTTGTGATAACACTAGAGATAGTAACACTGATTTGGCAAAACAAAACAAAATTTACTCACTGATTGAGGTGATTTGATTCCGTCTTTAAAAGGTAAACACATAAAAAACAGAAATAACAGTGACTCTTAATGCATAAAGCGAAAAAAGTACTATACTGTAGAAATAAATTTGTACATTAAACTCACTTGTAACAATAGAAATTAAAAAAAGTAGTAGAGAGTATTGTATCATAAGACTGATTATCATGCAGTTTTTAGGAGTAAAATCTCCGAATATAAAACTTACAAGCATTTTCTATGATATTGAGGGTTCAATAAAAACAGAAAAATGTTTATATACCCTAAACGAAACTGATTATTACTCGATTGAACAATTAAATGTGGTTTTTCCTAAAACTGTGCAATTAAATATTGTAGATCATAAGATATTACTCAAAACTGACTGTTATTTTAAATTCGATAAACAATTGTGTGATTCTTTAGGTGTTGAATATATTTCAGAATATATAACAAAAGGATTCTCTCCAATTGGGGTAGAAAATAAAGTGTTAGAAGTTCATTGTGATATAGTGGAAAAATCATTCTCCTCTGTCAATGATACACACCATGTAGAGGAAGAGCTTTTATTCATGTTTTTATTTGACTCGAATAAATTATTCGTAAAACCAGAGAAAATATTATACGTTCCTGTAAGCTCAAAAATAATAAAAACTTTAAACATCAGTATTTTCGACCAAGACGGAAACGAATTTCTTCAATTCAATGATCCAATTTTTTATTTCGATTTAATAGACAGGCAACCTCAAGAGAAAAAATTGTTAACGTATAAATTTTTCAAATTTTAAAAAAAATTAAATTATTTTTAAAAAAATAAAATAAAACTACAAAGCAATTTCAAATTCAAACCCAAAAAAACATCCCATTAAGAGACTTAGAACTCGAATAAAAATATACGGTAATAAACCGAAAAATAATTATAGACTTGATCTGTAACATATCTGTACTAAATGCCCTTTCCTTGTTCATTGGTGTAAGTGGCCAAAAAATGAAAATTATGAAATTTCGAGAAGCAATTATTGAAGAGCTTTTACGAAACGATGATGAAGACACACAACAATCTGAATTAATACAGCCACTACCGACACTAGTTCATACATTGGAAAAATCTCCGAAAACATCAAGGTGCAAATCATGTTACAGCTTACTGGTGAAAAAAGAAGACAAACTACCTACTATTTATTTAAATATTTAAAATTTCACACATTTGAATAAAACAATTAATAAATAAAACATTTTCAGGAAGACAAATTGCACAAAAAAAAAACAAAAAGGATCAAAACAAGATGTAATCAGTGTGATCAAAATTTATGTCCGGAATGTTTCTTCAAGACTCACAAAACAAGAAAATAAAAATAAAATTTTAAAGAAATATAAATTTAAGTAAATGTAAAAGTAATTTTTTTTTCTATAACTCAATTTAGTGTACTTTTTAAATTTTGAAATGAGCAAGGAGCTTTTTATGTAGTATTTGTTAAAAAAAAAGTATATAAAATGTTGAAAAACACAGTAAAGATGAAATTAAAACTAAATATATTATAAGGTTTTAAAAAATTGTGATATTTTTTCGCTAATTAAAAAAACCAGTTCAGGAGGCTATATAATCAATTTCCCTATACTATATAACGCTTATGTGTTCACATTTCTGTACACGAGGTGTCGGAGTAAAACACAGTGTGAGTACAATTTTTTGTACTCGTAGCGGTTTTGATAAAGTACGAAAAACACCCGTGGCAGTCAACAGGTTAACATATATACATAAAATAGCTGAGAGATTGAATATTTCTATAAATGTGTATTCTATTGATGAGTTCAAGCCAGTAATTATTCCCCTTAAAATAACTAAAATTGAGAAGGAGAAACATATTGATTTGTTGTATCTAAAAGAGAAAAATAATGAGCATTATTGTTAGATAAAAGATTTATGGAAACTAGTAGGACATGCTCAAATCTCCAAATATGGGCATAAACTTTTTCTGTGTATAATGTGTTATGGGCCACCACGTAAACATGTATAAATAGAATTGTGCGTAACACAATATCATAGGTGTTGCACACCTATATTTGATTAGTTGGCCATAAACTAGTAATATATATTTCTAGAAACATGTACATTTAATTAATTGGCCATAAACCAGTAATATATATTAAAAGATGTAATCTATAGAATAATGAAGTAGTTCAAACGAACCTTTCCATACGCCTCCAGCACCACATTTCGAACGCTTCTAATTTTTTCTTTTCGGTATCATTTATTACCCAAGTTTCACATCCATATGTTGCAGCACTCCATAAATATGTTTTTATAAGTCTCTTCTTGATATTAAGATGTATCTTTTTTGAAGTGAGCAACATATGTTTTTTACTAAAGGCAATTTTTGCTAATGCTATGCGTTGTTTAATCTCGTGGACACTCTTGCCATCAGATGTGATTTTACTCCCTAGGTATACCATTTCTTCTACCTGTTCCAGTTTTTGATTACCAATATATACATCAGCTTTTACTTTTGGGTCTCTGGCACAGACTAAGATCTTCGTTTTTGTACTATTTATTTTCATTTCTGATGTTCTGAGCATTTCATCCATTTCTTCAACTGCACGCTGTATGTCACCTTCACTCTCAGCAATTACCACAATGTCGTCAGCAAATCGTATCATTGAAACGATTTCTCCACCAATTTTGATCCCAATATTTAATCTTGTTAGCTTTGCTTTCACTATATTTATAGCTTTTTCAATGTAGCAGTTAAAGAGTGGTGGTGATAGCGTACATCCTTGTCGGACTCCTTTTTTTATTTGAGCGTTAGTTGTAATTTCTCCTTTTTTAATGCAGGCTGTCTGGTTCTTGTACAGACTGAATGATTCGTAGGTCTTGTTGTTCAATACCTATTTCTCATAATGTATGCAGCATCTTGTTCCAATTTACTTTATCGAAGGCCTTTTCCAGGTCTAAGAAGGCCAGATATGTGATTTTATTTCTATCGATCTGTTTTTCAATTAGCACTCACAATCCTAGAATTGCTTCTCGTGTACCTTTTTGTCTTCTGAATCCATATTGATCATTTTTTAAGTATTGTTCCACTTTTCCTTCTATTCTTCGGTTTATTATTTTTGTTAGGATTTTTGAGACATGTGTCAGTAAGCTCAGTGTTCTAAACTGCTCACAGGAATTTGCTCCACTTTTCTTTGGTATAGTTACAATTTTGCTTTTACAGTAATCGTCTGGCACATCTCCTTTCTCATATATATCCTGAGTTAGTTGGTATAAAGCATCTTTTATCTTCATACTAGCACATTGCAACAGTTCTACTGTTATGTTATCAATCCCGGGAGCTTTATTTTGTTTCAAGTCATAGAGCGCTAGCTCAAATTCTGATCTTAAGATTGGTAGTTTTGTTTTTTTTCCTCATTTATTGTAATTTCCTCCAATTTTTCTCCCTCATAAAGCTCCTCAATATACTCTTTCCATCGTTTTATTATGTCCTCATTATCAACTAATAATTGGCCCATTTTGTCTCTGATATTAGTGACATTTCGTTTTCTTTCTCCTACAAATTGTTGGATCTTGTGATACGCATAATCTATTTTGTTAGCTCTGAACATTTCGTCAATTTCACTACACTGCTGCTCCAGCCATTCTTCTTTTGCTTTCCTGGCTTCTCGATTAACTTGGTTTCTTAGTTGACGATACTTCTGTTGTCCTTCTCTCGTGTTATTGTTTTTATATTTTCGTCTTTCATCTATAAGTTCTACTATTTCCTTGTCAATAAATGCTCTTCTGGGTTCTTTATTTTCTTTTTTTGTTAGCACAGAGTTTGCTGCTTTTTTAATAGCTGATTTTATGTTCTCCCACATTTTATTCAGTGTATCATCTACATTTTGTTTTTGGTATTCGATATCCATATAGCGTCTATATTCTTACACAACCTCCGCTCTCTTTAGTAATCTAACATTATAATTGTCTTGCTGTACTTTTGTTCTTTGCGTTTTTTTATATCTGAGTTCACATTTCGCTATTACTATATTGTGATCACTGTCACAATCAGCACTCGGACATGTTTTACAGAATTTCATTTGATTCTTAAATCGATTTTTTATCAGTATGTAATTTATTTGGTAGCGGGCAATATCACCTGGCATTTTCCATGTATATATTCTTCTCTTAGGGTTTTGAAATCTGGTGTTTGTTATAATCATCCCATTTTCTCTGCAAAACTCCACTACTCTTTCTCCTCTTGCATTTCTTTTACCTAAACCGAAGTCTCCGACTTCTCTACCTTCCCCGCTTTCTCCAACTATAGCATTAAAGTCTCCCATGATGATTACGTTATCGTGTGGTTTAGTATGTTTCATTAGCTCTTCAATGCCTGCATACACTTCTTCCACTTCTTCATCATTTGCTTTTGATGTTGGCATATAAACTTGTATAATTGCAAGGTTGTTTGGTGTTGACTCTACTTTTACCAAACATAGTCTGCTACTATAGGTCACAACGCTCGTAACTCTTTTACTCCACTTCTTATTGAGAGCAATTCCAACTCCGGCTTGTCCTTTCGTACTATTTGTATGAATAACTCTGATGTCGTCAGACCAGAAGTCACCATTATCTGGCCAACGTATTTCGCATAATC